GTTGTCCCCCATGCCCACGTAACACCAGAGTTCTTTTTTTGTTTTTCAGAAGAAAAAAAATCATTACTAATTTATACAAGGGAACTTTAACGAAAAGTTCAAGGTACTGTTTACTTTAACGAAAAATCATATTTTTACACTAAAAAGTCAATCCTGATACTATTTATTTTACTCTTTATTTTGTCTTTATCATTAAAACTCAAAGTTTTCAAGCCATTTTCATTAGTTTTTCTTTTATAAGGGAAGCTTCACACATCATACAAGCATACAAATGTAAATTAAATATATTACATGGATAGGAGCCTAGAAAGTTTATTCTCTTTACTTACACATATTATATATAATACACAATTATTTTGGATCGAACGTTGGTTATATCAATAAAGTGTTAATATTATTATCCATAAGATACAAAATCCGTCATTTAACAAAGAGTAGATGTCCTGCATAAATACTTTTACATAATACGCATACATCATGGTATAACAAGGATTTTATATATTATGACTGTAATTTGAATCCCATTTATTTAGGTATAATCAATATCTATAATTGTTTGACATAACAACCCTCAATCTCCATTGTATTAAACGAGGTCACATTGAAGGGGTCCAACAGTCCACAAAAGAGAAACCACACCAATCCAAATTCAACTTGGAAGTAAGACTTTAATTTATTGCCTTTAATAAGTTGATGCTATGTTACTTGAATGAAGAGATATATGTGTGAGGGTGGGGCAGTGACAAAACATAACACATGCACTACCCAAATCGAAGCACGAAAACGAAATAATGGGTGGGACTCGGCCACTTCCCACCATGAGCAGTACTCAAGACTACTCCAAGTTGCCATTCACATTCTGCACAGATTTGGAACTTCTTCTTGCAAGCTCACAAATGGTACTTTATATCATGCCCTTAATTTTGTTTCTCACTTAAGGATTAATGTTCATAAAAATTGAAAGAAAAATGGAAAAAGATTAGAAAGTGAACATGCTTTGATTAAGCAAAATTTTCTCCCATGTGCAAAGATACCATTATCTGTTAAGACTACCTACCATTATTCAACAAATAGAAGGGGATTTTCAACTTTCTTGGGCCCCAAACTAAGAATTATCACCTTTATATTTAAGTGTAATTAAGCACCAAAAACTAAAAGAAAATGCTATTGACAATTCTAACCATCATTCACATGCCCATTTGATGATAGGAACCAAACAAGATCGAAACTGAGTCCAAGCATATTGTATAGAGTCTCACCTCTCTAGACGCGATTTGTAAGATGTAATATATATGTTGGATTGTTGGCCAATTCAATGAGTCCTGTTTCAACATTTATAAGTTCACTAATCACCAACCATGTCATTAGTCCAATGTAATTGTAGTCTACTCTAAATCAAATACTCGACTACGTTCAAAGTGAAATATTAATTTGTTAAAATGAAATGATAAACTAAAAGTGTGAAGAACACGAAAAGCAAATAAGTGCCATCAAAGAAAATCAGACTATATAACTTATTAAAATTTGTAAGAGATTTAATGGATGAGAAATGCATGTGGAAAGTTTGGCCCACGGGGATATCGATTGGTAATCCCAACCACAACCGGCATGTGCACTTGTTTTCCTCCATCACTTGTGGCTGTTTTCTGTGATATAATATGCAGACTAACTCACTAGCCTCCCAAGTTTCCTTATAAATAGAGGAACCCTCGTGCACTCTAAGCACAAAACAAACTCCACCTGCCCTACACAAAACTGAAGTCACAAAAAATGGCAGCTCATCCATTGTCTTTGGCATCTATAGCCCTCTCTCTTGTTCTCTTCAACCTACATCTGCATGGTGTGTTGGCTGTTTATGGTAGCTGGGAAGGCGCTCATGCCACATTTTACGGCGGTGGTGATGCCTCCGGCACAATGGGTAAGTCCAAAACTCAAGTGTCATCAATTATTTACCACAGTAAGAAAAAAAGAAGTTTTTAGACAACTAAAATTGCTTATAAGTGAGAGGTCTTACGGCGGTGGTAATGCCTCCGGCACTGAGTATTAGAGTCTAGCAGTATTCTTCTTCACTTGTAAGTGAGAGGTCTTCGGTTTAATTCTTGCCAAAAGCGAATTTGAACCACATTATTGGTAGCCCAAATCCACTCCCCTCACCTTAGTGTAGATAATATCGTTTGTACAAAAAAAAAAATTGCTTATAGAAGTACCGTTTCTATGTATTGGAGGTGATTAAGTTGCAATAATATATATTTTATACTTTTCTATGAGCTGAAGTGTTTCTTGTAGAAATAGTCCAAATGAGTTAAAAACTGAAAGTGTGAATAACATTTTAGTAACGAAACAAAACTATTGATAGACCCCTGGTTGAACGGCTCACCGTGATCCACCGGCCGTCTAAAAAGAGTGTTTAATTTAAGAGTTGGGGTTTGATATTAATTTGATTTGAAATTTTGCAGGAGGAGCATGTGGTTATGGGAATCTGTACAGCCAGGGATATGGAACCAACACTGCAGCTTTGAGCACAGCATTGTTCAACAATGGCTTGAGCTGTGGATCTTGTTATGAAATGATGTGCAACAATGACCCGAGATGGTGCCGTCCTGGATCCATTATTGTTACTGCTACAAACTTTTGCCCTCCTAACTTTGCTGAGTCCAACGACAATGGCGGATGGTGCAATCCTCCTCTCCAGCACTTCGATTTGGCCGAGCCTGCTTTCTTGCAGATTGCTCAATACCGCGCCGGAATCGTGCCGGTTTCCTTCAGAAGGTAGGCCCTGAAGTTAATCACGGTGACATTACTATGGTTATCGGAAATGCAAAGATGTTATGTTATCAGACTGAGAATCTAAATGATTAATTGAGTGAATTCTTTTCTGAAAATTAGTGACTTGATAACCTAGCACGTCAGATATCTGAAGGGCGAACATTAGCCAACTATAATTACAAGTTAACACCTTACAATTTCTTGGCAGAGTACCTTGTATGAAGAAAGGAGGAATAAGATTCACCATCAACGGCCACTCCTACTTCAACCTGGTTTTGATCACCAACGTGGCTGGTGCAGGAGACGTCCATTCAGTTTCAATCAAGGGGTCCAGAACAGGGTGGCAACCCATGTCAAGAAACTGGGGTCAAAACTGGCAGAGCAACTCATACCTCAATGGCCAAGCCCTCTCCTTCCAAGTCACCACCAGTGACGGTAGAACCGTCACGAGCTACAACGTGGCTCCTGGTAATTGGCAGTTTGGCCAGACATTCTCAGGGGGGCAATTTTAGAATTATTCCACTAGACTATTGGCAAAAAATTGTGTATCTATCTGTGTCATTTTTTTCCCTTAAGTTTCTTAGTGCAAAAGAAAGGAGTAGTTGCGAAGTGAAGGTTTGCTGAGGTGAGCTAAAAAACACCCGCTGGGCCTTTCACATTTGAGATTTTCTGCAGAAACGAAATTTACCTCATTCAGGTTGTAATCAATTTCCTCAATTGTAACCTTAATGATATATATAATAAAATATAAAAAAAAGCTTTATTACGGTCGATACATCACTCGATGGAAAATAACTTCTCCGCTATATTTCTGATGTCGATATTTCAAGTCAATCAGTCGATATGACATCGCAGTAGTAGGTAATATTTGATAACTTACCTGCAGAGTCCAAAAGAATACGAGGAAACACAACCCTATCCACACGATCACTTTCAAGTTGTTCTTTTTGGCTGTTGGTAGTAAGTGGTAACTTTTTATTAGAAGTTGGTGTTGTATCCTTTTCAGCAATATAAAAAGGCCCGCATCTAACAAACAGCAGAACATGGCCACGTGGACACGGGCATGTGCTGCAGCAAAGGTTTGTTTTTGTCATGGGGCAACTAATTGTTGTGAAGGGTGACAGACAAATCAGAAACTTGGATAAAAAGAAAGGAACTATCATTTGGAATTTATCTAAGTAAATGGAATAGATTTCGTCTTTCTGAGAAATGTGATCAGATGATCGATAAATGTGATATCTAAACTCTCGAGAAAGTGTGTTGAATTAAAGATTACTTAAAATAGTGTGGAAAAACTTTTGGGATTATTGTCAAACAACGAATGTTGATCCGCTGCAACTAAAGGGATGAGAGCTTCGATTTTTTGAGAAGGAACATGGAAGTGCGAAAAATGATTCTCGCGCATGAGTTTGTACTGGAATCCCACTTCTGCCTGGTCCAATAAAACACCAAATCACCCAAGGGATATGAATTAGAGATAAAGAAATCAACCGAATTTAAATCACTGTTCATACGATTCAAAAATCTGTTCAGAAATCACAAATAACCGTAACAATATCAGTCCAAAATCTTCATAAGGACAATATCTTGTGCCTCGGTACCTTGACTCAGTTTCCACCTATTGGACATCTTGAGAAATGCCAAAGCATGCGAAAAGAAATATAGATGCCACCGAAAACACAACATATATAGTAAGTCAGAAGTCAAAAGTACAATGTATTGGTTAATTAGAAGAGAAGAGGAGGTGGGAGTTTGAAAAGCTTACGTACATTGCATAGTCATAAAAATAAGTTTTCAATCATGAACGTAAAGTGCAAATTCATATTTGATTTTGTGTTGACTTAAATAGTCGTATATGTCTATGTATTTGATTTCAAACGCTATATTTAACTCTTAATTGATGTGCACTGAGAATGATATATCACAGTAGAATCAAATTTAACTCCAAAATTGACTTTAAAGTTTTAACTTTTAGCTATTAGATTTAGAGATAGCCTAACAAATACCAATTTGAATCATAACAAAATAATTCATCTAATAATAATGCAACTGCCTTGAGCCACTTAACTACTTTTAATTGATCTTAACGAGATTGATTCCTTTTGCTGAAGTTTTTACACTTTCTGAAAGACCAATCTATGTAAATTGAATTTTTTCAAACTCGAACACAATTTAATAATTTTGCAAATAATAACCAAAATTCAGGAGCTTAGATCTGTTTTTGCTACCAAATATCAATCAAATTAAAGACTTTCTAGTCATCCATATGTATTTGTATCGAACATGAACAAATTGCCGGGTTTGCTACCAAGTAACATATCCATAATGAACCGTCCTTTTTCTTTATACATGTAGATTATCATAATCTCTCTCGCTTCTAGAAAAATCATTCCAGTTGAAAAGAATTTGGTGAAGACACAAGAAAAGTGAAAATGGTTCAACACATTTAGATTCACAAGAAGCACTCCCACGCCACTACTCGAGAAACTCTAAGAGTCCTCTGGTACCTCGGAAGTAGGAAGTTTGGAACTCTTGATTGTCAATCCAAGCAAATGAAGAAAATGCCATTTGAGAAGAATTACGGAACACGTTAATATTAACATCACAAATAAAACAAGTCTGGGCCTGTAGAACCAAAGGTAATCCGCTGAAGGATGAACAAAGTCCCCTCGAATTTGTTGGCATCGTATATTCCTCAGCAACCTCCTGAGACATTTGAGACGTTACATGCTCCAACTGAGATGGCCTGATATGACCGCAGCAGAAAAGCTCGCATACTTTGTATGTTGCAATTTTCGCAGCACCTCAACAGCATTCCCTTTCACCGCTGAGGCAAAGTGAGTTCCATGAACGAAAACATCCCTCAAAGACTCTTGAGAGTGATATCGAGGTCCAGTGAGCTTGCTGCAAAATGAACATTTCATATAGTTTACAAAGTATTAGTATGTACAGAAGCAGTACAATTATAAAAATTGGGTAACGCGGAACACACATAGGTGCTATGCACAGCATTCTTGCTTATGATTTAGTTATTGTTTGTTTTCACAAAAAAGAATAACACTTGAAAGTAACAATCGGTTTATATATTTGTACCAGTGACTAGTATATTATGTAATAACTGAAAATTATGGAAACTACCTTGTTGCACCTGAAATTTTAGCAGCCTTCACAGGCACCTTTCTACCTCTGGGGAGGCAGGCCAAAACCTTCATCTTTAAAGCTCAGATTCCACCCAAATCCTACATTCGAACACATCAACAATAATATCACTTTCGATAATTGCTCTTCGACTAAATTTCTCATTGAATCCCAAAAAGTCCCAAGATCTTGAACGTTCTGCTTGGAAAGACACAAAAATCAACAAAAATATCACCCTCCATAATTTCAGCAGTAAAACAGGTACTCAACAGTTAAAGTTACTCAAGCGATATCAGTTCGTCGTACCCAGTGCACAAGGCTCCTGCTTTAGGCAGGGTCTGGGAGAGGTGAATGTCGGCTAGCCTTACCCCCATTTATGGAGAGGCTGCTCCCAAGTCTCGAACCCGAGACCTACCGCTCATGGGCGAAGGCAGTTGCCATCGCACCAAGTGCGACCTCTACTCAAGCGATATCAGTTACAGACACAAAATTAATAGTACTCAAAGGATGCTAAAAGATTATATATTATCTATTGGAAACACAACACATATAGTAAGTCGGACTTGATTACTTGAAGAGGAAAGGAGGTGGGAATTTGAAAAACTTACATTGCTTAAGTTCACTGCGACAGTAAATTGGCGAAGCGTTGCTTAGCCTTGGCAGAGGGTAGATTCATCAAATTATTCTAAATCCCCAGCTCTCTAAGGGATGTAATGTTCCCCAACCACTCTGGTAAAGCCTCCACTCCCTCAAATAGTCGATACATAAAACATTTAAATTTAATGAGGCAGAGACTTGAGCTTTGTCCACCCTTTCAAATCTAATAATTCAAGCTGCAATGATCAACCTTGAACATCATGAATGAAGTTGATTCCTGCCAGAACCCGCCAATGGTGAATTTTATCAATTTCGGGGTTGTAAACCTTTTCGCAGATTTCTTAAATTCGCCAAATTATAAAATCCCTAACTTAGTTTGCACTGACGATTCTTTACCTAATTTCTGCAATAATGCAGGTATTTGACAGTAAAGCTACTTGAGGGATATGAAATGTCGATTAAATAATCAACTGAATTCAAGTCATTGTTCATACGATTCAAAAATCTGTTCAGAAATCACAAGTAATCATAAAAATACCCAGCGCAAAATCTTCATAAGAATAATAATAGACGAAAAGCAATTGCAGTCAATCTATATTTTCTTATTATATGAATATGGTTTTACATGATTAGAAGCATTACTCTTCCAAGTTTCTAACCATGAACGGGTAATTAAGCTGGTGTTTCAACACTCATACAAATGAACTAAAGAAAGTTAACATATCAACTGATGTTGCGGAAATTAAGAACGATAACATGTAAAGGAGAACGCCCACATGGTACCAAAAAAAGAGGCTTTCTAGCTTGATAAGCACTATAACTTAAGGTATATTTTTTGTGAAAAGAAGGTAGAGCGAGAAATTTAATATCTTATGTATCAGTACCTGTACTCAGTTTGCACCCATTGAGCATCCTGAAAAAACGCCACAGCATGCCAAAAGAAATATAGATGCCACTGGAAAACACAACATGTGTAGTAAGTCAGAACTCAACAGTACACTGCATTTAGAAGAGAAGAGGAGGTGCGGATGTGAAAAGCTTACTTGGACTAACTCCAATGCGGAAGTTGCGTCCATGAATATTCAACTGTACATACTTTGGTTTTTCCGCAACTCATTTGTTGCAGTTTCTAAAGGCGTTGCGTAGCTTCAATCCAACTGTTGTCCCAGACTCTTAACTAATTTGAAACAAAATTGAGAAGGATAAACAACTTTGGTTAGTTTTCGAAATTTTTGTGTAGATGAATAGAAGAACAAAAGAGATAAACATTATAACATGTACCCTGCAATTCGATTTCAAGAATTGCAAAACGTACTTGTGATATTTGGAATGTGAGCAATCTTAGGCCAATCTGTGCCGTTGTCCCTGGTGCATTTCTGCTCTAAAAGAGGATGACATCCGGAAATGTCCAGGATTTGTAATTTGGTGAGACGTTGCATAGCTTCGACACTAGGTAAATTCGACAGATTCTTGCAATCTTGTATCTCCAGCTGTGCAAGGGATGTAAGGTTACCCAACCATTCTGGCAAAGTCTCCACTCCGTCAAATGAAACCATCATCAAATCTGTCAAAGAAGTCAAGTGTTGAATCTGTTGAGGCAAAGACTTGAGCTTAGGCCAACCCCACAAGTCTAACATTGTAAGATGCATCAATGATCCAACTCCAAAATCAGGGAAGGAATCGAGCTCCTCCCAGAACGGACCAATTTGTAATTTCTTCAAGTGAGAAAGCCACCGTAGCCCCGCCGGCAGATATTTTAGCTTTCGCCAGTTTCTGATCTCCAGATAGCGAAGAGAATGAAGGTTGTCTAAACTTGGAAGAATCTCTAAATTTGGGAAATCGTTTATTGCCAGCCACTCAAGAGAGACTGGGAATTGCAGCCCGCTCACCCAACTTTCCAATCCTTCACAGTATTCAATCCTCAGTTGTTGAAGGGGTATCATTGTGCGCAAATCTGAAACGCATTTCTCCTCAATACTGCTACTTTGGACACCAAACGACGTTAGCTTAGGGCATTCACTTATATACAATTGCTGAAGAGAGGGAAAGTGTTGTGGAAGAGCAGGTAAGCTCGATAGTTCATCGCAATATCTGATTGTCAACTTCTGAAGAGAGGTGAGAGACGCGCCGCCTTTAATTTCAATTGATGTCAGATTATTGCAACGCCATATAAACAATTCCACGAGAGAGGTGCAGCCTTGAAGCCCACTCAATGGGCCTGACAAACCACTGCAGTTATGAACAACCAATTTCTGGAGAGAGGTGCAGTAGTCTAACCCACTCGGTAGTCGTGACAATTGTTCACAATGATAAATCTCTAATCTGCGTAGAGATGCCATGCCCTGTCTAATTGGAATCAATTCTAGATTAGGACATCTGTATATACCCAGGTACTCAAGGAGAGGAAGTGTATCTAGCCCATCCGGCAACTGCCTCAGCTTTTCACAATTACGAATAACCAATCTCTCAAGAGAACCACAAGAACCGAATATATCGGGGGCAAGATCATAATCAATGACTCCAAAACATTTTAAGTTAGCCATTCCGCTAATCTTAAGCTCCGTAAGATTAGGTAGATGGCCAAGCGGTGGGACTTCTTCACATTTATTGCATCCAAATAACTGAATCTTCTTCAAGTTGTTGAGCTGTAATGGTCTACTCATCATCCACAATGGAAACTTATCGCCCATGAAGTTTTCAATACTTAAGCTCTCTAAATCAGGTTGCGGTCGGAGGCCTCCCAGTACATCCCCCTCGTCATTGTTGTCAGTTGTTGACCTATATCTCGTCCATCTGAGTGTCAGATGGCATACTTTTTTCTTGTCCTCTAGTTTAGCTTTTTTTGCTTCTTCTCCATTCTCTACGCGTTCCAGATTACAAACAACTAATTCACCTTTCAATTCTTTCAAGCCAGCCAACTCTTCAATTCGACGACCAATCTCATTACCCACCGAAAAGTATAGTATTGTTCTAAGGCAAGTCAATCGCCTTAACCCCTGTGGAAATTTTGTGCTCTCATCAAAATAAATATGTCTCAGATTGATCAAGTTTTGCAATTCTTTTGGAAACTCTTTAAGGGCACAATTTGTCGCTCTTAACGTCTGTAAGTTATAGAGCTTGCCTATAGAGCTGGGGAGTAATTTGAACCTTGTTTTAGAAATGTCAAGATACCTTAAGTGTTTCAGCCTTTCAACTGAAGTTGGAAACTCTTCAATATTAGCATTACTTAGATTCAAGATGCGTAAAGCTTTGAACCGTGGGAGAATGTTAATAGGAACTTCACCATCATCAGAGACCAGTGATCGCAATTTTCCAGCGCTTCTTTCTGGAATTTTTTTCAGTATAGAAGTAGAAACTCGTGCAACATGTCGAATCTCATCTGTATTATCTATGCCATGGAAGTCTCCTGTCAAGCTTTCAAATCTGGATACAAGTTTTGCCAAATCATGCACAAGATCGTGCATCTTGCATTCGCTAATAGTGCCATTATAATCCAATGTAGCATCTTGAAATAAGGAGCTCTGCAATAGAATATCAAAATATTCATTGCCTATATCCTCCATATCTTTACTTTCACCAAGTGAAGGGCGGAGTAGTCCTTGAGCCATCCAAAGTTGAATCAAATTATCTCTTTGAATTTCAAAATCTTTCTTGAATATTGAGCAATATGCAAAACATTGCTTCAATGATGGTGATTCTAAATTGTCAAAACTCAACTTCAAGACTGACATAATTCTATCTTCTCCTTTCGGTAGGTTGTTCCATATTCCACTTTCTTTAAATGACAACCATTCAGCAATACTATTTTTAGTGTACAAAATGCCTCCCAAAACCTGTTGATTGGATTAGAGAGTTTCTATCACATAATGATTTATAGAGTATAGTAGTTTGAACTGAAGTTGATGAAAAATAAAAAGAAAAATACATGATTGAAAAAAGAGGGTATAGTTATAATCAGGTTCAAAAGTTTCCTAAAACAATGTAGAAAAAACTTGAGTTATAACAAAGTATTCATCCAATAATAATGCAGATGGTCCTTTAATTATTATTACGAAATTGAATGGTTTCAATTATAAAATTTGTACGATATATCTAGAAAAAGTCTGAGCCATGTGCAAAATGTGATACTAGCTTCCGTGTTTGTCAAATTCCCGAAATATCCATTAACTAATGTTGGTTTTTGATTAAGAAAATGTTAAGGGAGACCACACATTTTTTGTATACCATCTAATGCATAAGTGATATGTACATGTTATATCAAGTAATGAAAAATCAATCTACGTAAATTGTACTTTCAAAATTGGAACTCAATTCAATCATCTTGCAAATGATATAACTAAAATTCGAAGGGATTGACGATGTTGATACCAAGTAAAATATATGTGATATCAGATAGCTAATATCTATGATTTGAAATGAAATTTTGTAATGATGATTTTTAAATGATAATTACAAAAATGAATGGCTCTGATTAATATGTTTGTCACAATGCCTTGTCCTAATTTATAAAGTGATCTATTTTCCTAATTTATAAATAAAAAACATGTAAAAAATTAAGTGCAAATTCCAAGTTATATGTACATAATAATAATACGTACCTTTGCCACCAATGGAACGCCACCACAATTTTCAGCAATTTTCCTTCCAATTGTCTTGAACTGAGGAACTATACGAGCACTGCTATTTGGGAAGGCTTTCTTTTTCATGATGGACCAACATTCATCCGCAGAAAGTTTTCCCAGCTCATGTCGTCGAAGTAGTTTTTCTGAGATTGATGCAACTTTTGTACTACGAGTAGTGACCATGATTTTGGATCCCCCAGCAGATTTAAGCTTAAACAAACATTCCATTAAATTATTCCATTTTTCAGAATCTTCGTTCCAAACATCATCAAGTACGAGTAAGTATCTTTTGTCTTTCAACTCTTCATTAAGGAAGATAAGCAAAGCATTCTGGTTATCTTTCGAAGGGACCTTTGTCGGATTAAGCTGTTCTAACATCTGAAGTAGAATCAAATTGATATCGAAAGTGTTCGATACACAAACCCATATTTTTGCTTCGAAAAACTTGTGTATCAAATCCTCATTGTAAACTGACTTGGCCAACGTTGTCTTTCCGATGCCTCCCATTCCCACAATGGCCATAACCGCAAGATTTTCTTGATTGTATTTGGAGTCGGTCAAGGTTGTAACTATTTTTAACACATCATCTTCCCTTCCAACAGTTATTTCATCTCTGCCAACGAATGCGTTGGTTTGTCTGTCCCATGTATTTCCTCGAGGGGTTGCATCTATTCTCTTGGAAACTAGACCAATGAAAGATGCCTCACCCTTGAGATCTACCAAGGACTGGTTGATGTTCTTAATTTTATGTGCCATTTTCAAACGAAATGCAAATGGATTGGAGAGTGAAAAGAAGTTAAGTACCTTTTTCTTCATATGATTTTGGAGTTCAACTTTACGGCGAACAACTTCGTACTCGAACTCATCCAACACATCGTCAGCTTCATGAGCTATAGCCTTAAGTTTCCTCACCCACTCCTCCACCACCATGACCCGATCTTGTGGTTGATCGGAAACAGCTTGCAAGAAATCCTGAATGGTGAGTAATGAATGGTGAAGCCGTTTTAGTTCAGCTTTGAAACCCCAAGCAAGACTGAGTTCTTGAGCAGCAAGTGATGCCACCTTCGACAGTATACCCTCAACAGAAAAAGTAAACACAGCTCCTGCAATCTTCCCTTCCATGCCGATCGATTAAATTTTCACTCAATTTTCTCTCGAGTGGATGGAAGGAAATACAAATGATGATGTGATGGCTTACACCAAACGCTTGTTTTTATTTGGCATGATCAGTTCTATCAGAATCCAAACCTGCCTGTCAAACACATATAATTTAATTCCCACAATAGTCTAAAAAAGCGGCCAAAGCTGGCAAGGCTAGTGCAAGTGGTGACCGATATCTCTACCGACTAAAATTAATATCCGCCTTTCATTCACGATTCATATAAGAAAAATGCTATGGTGATTATTTTAAAAGAGTGCTCGTTACCTGATTAAAACAAAAGCGAAGACTCTTTACAAATTTTTTATTTACTTTTTGTTTTTTCATAATAATTTATAATATTAGTATGAAAATTGACTGTTGAATTGTAAAGTGATAAAGAATAGATAAAAAAATCTAATTTTTAAGAGAGTTTTTTTATCGTGTCACTTCATATAATTTATTCATTTCTTTTCTTTACCAATTTCTCTCCCCCGACCTCTTCTCTCTGAATTTATACTGCAACACGTTGAAAATTATGATTTTATATGTCCATTTCTCTTTATATGAATGTATCTAATACAGATCTAGATGAAAGATTAGGTCACTTCAAACTTACCTAAGTTGAATAATCCCAAAAAATTGTTACACTCATAATGTAACGCACCACAATAGTAAAAAGCAAACTAACAACTATTTAAGCCAGGTAGCTTTTCGACTCTCATTTTTTTTATTGATCTTACTTGGCTGCATGCTTTTTGCTTATGTAGACATCGAAATTTCTTAAATAAATGTTGACCGATAAATCAAAGTGTCAACGCTCATGTATTACATAAATTTTACACGTAGCGTGTGACTCAACGAAAATTGAAATGAGTTGGAAAAGTCATCAAATAGGACACGTGTCAACATCTGGCAGAAACGACTTATTTCATCTGGGATATTATATTCAAAATTAGGCATTGGAAAATTCTATAAATACAAGCCCATTTCATTCATTTAAAGGGACCAATTCATATTACACCTTGAAGCTCTGAAGCTCTGAAGCTCTGAAACTCCAAAACTCTCAAGCATCCAGGTTCCCGAAGAATCAAGAAAGTGTTCTTCGTTCTTCATTCATCGTTCTTCCAAGATCAAGCCTCGACGGCCCTTGGATCAACAATCATCCACCTTCAAGATCAAGCCCCGACGGCCCTTGAAGAAAGCATTCTTCATTCTTCGTTCATCGTTCTTCCAAGATCAAGCCCCAACGGCCCTTTGGATCAACAATCATCCACCAATTCAAGATCAAGCCCCGACGGCCCTTGAAGAAAATGTTCTTCGTTCTTCCAAGATCAAGCCCCGACGGCCCTTGGATCAACCATCCACCAATTCAAGATCGAGCCCCGACGGCCCTTGAAGAAAGCACCATCGTTCATCATCCGTTAATCCAAGATCAAGCCCCAACGGCCATTTGGATCAACAACGTCGACAAATCCACACATCCAACCGTTCTTCAAGATCAAGCCCAAAAGCCCTTGAAGATCCGTTCATCACTGTTCTTCGAGATCAAGCCCAAAGGCCCTTGAAGATCCGTTCAAGCCCAAAAGCTCTCGAAGATCCGTTCGTCACTGTTCTTCGAGTTCAAGCCCAAAAGCCCTCGGAAATCCGTTCATCACTGTTCTTCAAGATCAAGCCCAAAACCCCTTGAAGATCCGTCAATCACCATTCTTCAAAATCAAGCCCAAAAGCCCTTGAAGATCCGTTCATCCTCGTTCGTCCAAGATCAAGCCTCGACGGCCCTTGGATCAATCGCACATCCCACAAATCAACACCTTACGGAGATCGAATCAGATGATCAAAATAGAGAGAGATTGTAAACCAAAATCATCAAAAATACAAATATTTGTTTGTGCACGTTGTTCTTGTCTCTTTCGTTTCAGGAATTTTCTGTGTTCACAGCTTCATCATACATCTCTATGTGACACTAACACTAGGTTGCACAACACATCATATATTCTTATCTTCTTGTATTTTTGTTCTTAATTAGAAAAAGTACACTAAGATTATTTTGACGTATCAATAACAGTTTATACTTGAAAAATAACAGTATATTAATATGAAGTGTGTTGTTTTCTTATTCGCATGGCGTAAATGCACCGAGTAACGCACTCAGTCTCTTATTTTGTAGCTCATGCTTTTGGCGTTCCTTTTTGTGAGTTGGTAGCTCATAGTTTGAAGTTTAATCTTCGAAAGCAACGTAAATGTGTTTATTCGCTCCTATCTTACTATTATAAATACTAGCATTTTTGGACATGTTCATGTGTATGCGAAAGATCTTTTTTAATCATGGTGAGCTATGCACGCAAATAAAATTCTATTTTCTTTTCCACATTTGTACTCAATGTAGCTAATAGGCAAGATATAAGATTGATTCTTCCAATCTTGGAGCAAAAAATAATTCCAGAAATCCGTGCTAGTGCCCCAGAGATTCTTGGATTTCTTGCAATATGAGATTTAATCCCATAACTCTTATTTTTTATTTTACATGCTTTGACGCTCTCCCGCCTCATGTTTTCCACAGAGTGTTGTGCCATACTACGAAAATTATACGGTTTAGAAGGATTATAACTCATTTATTTGAATGAAAGCTCTTGAACAACCAAGTCCCCTGCCAACCAAACTACGAATTCTCAATTCTTTGATCGATAGGAACCTCGAAAAAAGTTTTGGGGTTTTGAGTACTTAAAAAAGGCTCTAAAAAAACGGAACTACAAGTAAATCTTAATAAAAGCATATGATGAGAAATTATTTGAGTCGAGCATTTCCAAGTGTGAACTTTTTTCCGAAGAAGATAAGAATTCATTAAATAGACAAGGCTCACAAAGATAGAAAGGGATCATCCGGATCCCTTCCACCAAATCCACCTAATCATCCCATTCAGACATTTGAAATTTGATGCAACGACTAAAGTTATTATAACTTTTAAAATGACCACCTGTTTTTAGACGTTGAATCAAATTTCAAGAGCTCGAATGGATTGATTAGATGAATTGGTAGAAGAGATTCAGATATGTTCCTTATCCCACAAAGATTTCCACGCGCAAGTCAACATCTGTGGAGGCTTTAGAAATTTTTTTTGTTTCGGTCTTTGGTCTAGTTTTTGGTTGTTGATGCCATGTCGGTAGGAATTCAGACATAGGAGCTCTTATTCTTTCCTACAACTACCAAAAAAGCGTGGCAAGTAACCAAATTAAATATCACAGAATTTGGTAAGAAATCGCTCTACTGAGACAAGTCGCAGCAAATGGGCCCCATGCTTCTCCAACCATACAAAAGAGACACATGGTGGTGAAGGCGTAATTAGAGGCCACCCTCCCTTATGCGGATCTCTCTATATTTTCTTTATGAAATTATAGGGATCCTTATATTTTACCTGTTCATCATACGTGTGCGATCAGTATTATTTATGTTTAATTTTAAATAAAATAATTTTTTATCGTACAATGTATAATGAACTAGAATATAAAATTTTAATTTATTGCCTTTAATAAGTTAACATGCACTGCCCAAATAGATGTGTGAGGGATGGACAGTGACAGAACATATCACATGCACTACCCAAATCGAAGCACGAAAACGAAATAATGGGTGGGACTCGGCCACTTCCCACCATGAGATTATCTCAAACCTAAAAGAGATCAAAGGATCATGTTTAACTCTATAGCCTTGTAAGAAATTATTTTTTTAATGAACAGTGTCAAACTATATTTTATATCATCTCCAACCAAGTGAGTCAAATGATCATAAGCCAAAACATAGCCCGTTTAAGAAAAAAAACTCATCTCTAATCGAAGGGGGCTATTTTTTAGCCCACTTAATAATTTATTATTTTAATTGAATTAATATGTCTAATTGAATTAAACTATCATATTAAAATAAGATTTTCAGATATATTTTGAGTGTCACTTGTCGCTAAATGAATAAAGCTATGGTTCTCTTATCTTTATATAATGAAAAGGATGTGAAAATTTGGTGAAGAATTGAATAAAATGATGTAAGATAGTATGAAATTATGAAATGATGTGAGAAATTGTATAGAAATGGCTTAGGTATTTATAGGAAAAAAATTAGAATTTTTTTTAAATTTTGTCTAAAAAAAAAATCGAATTCAACAATAACATGACGTCTGCTAGCCTAGGTTTGGGCTGGTGCAAACGGGCTGGCTGGCTCTTTTTGGCCAACCCGCTGGCCTAGTAGATGGAATTATGGCCCGATAAGGCTCACAAGCCCTTTGGTCTAGCCTTATGTTGAAGACGATTTTTGTATTAAAACATGATATATTTTGACCTATGTCCCTTTGGCTAATACTACTTATCTTCCCCATGGTTGCAGACGAGAGAAAGTAAAGGTGCTCGGTTATTAGGTGTGGAAAATGAAAGTGGGAACGGTCCTAAAATACCATTATGGAAGAACAATGACCTACAAGCTTAAAGCCTGTGCGATCCTAAAATACAAGTATGGAAGAACAATGACCTACAAGCTTAAAGCATGTGCGATCCCCTAAACCCTAAAAAAGTTTAAAACAAACAAATCGCTTACGCTGGGATTCTAGTCCTTGACTTTTGAAAACCAAGGGCTTATCCAATAGAAACAATTAGTAGTGGTGGGCACAGGCCGGGCCGGACCCAAATTTGAAGGGATCGAACCAGACCCGAGTGTAAAGGAGACGGGCATGGGCGAGTCGGGGATTACATTTTCTTACATAGGAACTGGACCTTACCTGGCCCGATTGAAATAGGCTGGTTCGGGTAGGGTCCACGGGTCCTTGGTTTTGTTTGTTTGTTTTTTTTTTTTTTTTTGAAAAAAAAAACTGGAATTTGCACAGATTCACCAATGTAGCATATTATGCAATAAGAAACCCAGATAATGCAAGAGGAAAGATTTCGAAAAATTTCCAATTCCAAATGCACCCACTTCCTTATAAATTCTTCAGCATAAACATCTCCGAACAAAGCAGATTGAGACTCAGTAAATCAATACTCACAACAGAAACCCAGATAATATAATCCACAAAAAGTTGAAGCGCATAGCCAAATTAACAAAGTGTAAATATTTAGCAGGTCATTAAGTATATAGGCATCACAAGAAATCCATGATAAATATGAACAAATCTCGATATGAAAGCCCTAATACGAAGCTAAGAGTGACCTAACACATATGGAGAGATCAGTACTCTTCGGCCTTAGCATCCTCACTGGCAGTAGCATCGGTACATTCCACCGCAGAGCTCGCAGTCTCGGACTTTATGGGGCCGTTTTGGAGCAGCAGAAGCAACGGCGTTCCTGGACTTGATGGTGTCGAGCATGTGCTTTCTAATCTCCTTGGAGTAAACCTGCAGGATCTGAATCCCGCCTCCTCAATGAAGAGAGGGGACGACGCACTCGAGACGACGAATGAGAGGTAACAAATCAAAAAGATGGGTGGCGGGGTGGCTGGGTTCTATAAGTCTGGGTCTTTGGGATGTCAAATAGAGACGGCGAGAAAGAGGTGACAAATCGAGAATATGGTGGTCATCTGGGTCGTCGTGCTGTCGGGGTGGTGGAGGGAAGGGGACGACGCACTGGAGACGGCGAGAGAGACTCGATCGACAGAGTGAGAGTGATATTTAAGTTCGATAGGTTTGAGGACTAGCAAACCTAAAACCAACGATTCAGATTGGATGGAGAGATGATTTCTTCAATCTCATCCGTCCATTCTAACTACAAATAGGCCAGTCCGGGTACCCAGGGTTCTTATACTTCAGGAACCAGTCCGAACTGAAAATTTCAAAAGCCTGCCCCGCCCCATTTTTGTTTTTACAAAATAGGAACCGGCATGTACCCGTCCCGAACTGCGGTTCCTATACTTGTTTGCCCACCCCTAACAATTAGCATGAAATGGGTCCCCAAACAATAAAAAAAATATAATGAAAAATGATCAAAAATTCAGAGTTTTAACAAAAGGGTAAAAAGTTATTGTAAGTGAATAATACGAAAAATGATTTTTTAGAGTAAAAATATTATTAACGTTAAATGTGAACAGGATCAAGAATATTTCGTTAAGTTTTCCAAAAAAAATCGACACATGCTGATGTGGCGTTATTAGAGGCCACCCTCCCCCGGAAATCGGAATCAAAAAATAAAAAATCAACAAAAAACCCCCCAAAAATAAATAAAAATTCATTTCATTTTCCCAATTTTCCAATTTTTTTTTTCGAATTTTCACAAGAATTAAACGAAGAACACATGCTGATGATGCCCGCCATCAATGCCACACTCGATTCTTTGCAATCTCAGTGATCGGTGTTTGATTGATTTGATTTGACCGTCCTTTGCCGATTCCAGCTTCCGCATCTTCGTTTCCGTACGTTATTTCTCTCTCCCTCCTTTTCTCGCTTTCTCTGTTGATTTGGTGTTTCTTAGTAAGAAGCAGATCTAGAGTTTCATAATCGAAAATTGGAGCCAGTGTCGGTGGCGATTTGTAATTGTGTGTGTTTGCCATTGTTGTTGCTGCAGTTCTGAGCTGCTTTGCGCCTGAAAAATCTGAAATTTCGGATAATGAGGTACGAATTTTGAATGTGGGCATTTATGGTATGTCTGTTTTGTGATTTTTACTGGAAATTGATTGAAATTGGTTGGATATTTCTTTCTGGGATATGCTAGATCCGTGTAAAGGTTTGGGCTTTGAATTGAGGGAAAGAATGTGGAAGATGGGAGAGAGCCCGAAGTTCCAGCTGGGAACCATTGGGGCTCTGAGTTTGTCGGTGGTGTCGTCGGTGTCAATCGTGATTTGCAACAAGGCGCTTATTAGCACACTTGGTTTCACTTTTGGTGAGTAATGCACCTGTTTGATATGAAATTTGATGCACCTGTTTGATATGAAATTTGGCATATGTATATATTGGTTTTCTGCTTTGTTTGGGTGGTTGGAATTCCTTCTATGGCACATTTTTTTGGTTTTAAGATAGTGTTAAATGATAAATGTCGGTAGAATTTGGTTGCTTCAATACATATAATGTTGGCAAAAGATTTTCTAGTTAATTCGGCTGGTGCATCTTAAAAGCTTGAATGTGGTTTACTTTGATGGAAACCGAAAAGATGGTTGGTCATGATTCATGAATGTAGAGCTAATTTATGATAACCACAGAGGGAAATACGAAAGATTTGAGTATCATATGTATTCTCATTTCGTTTGCTTTTTTTGAGAATACTTCTGTGTATTCTCTAAGGTGATTCATTAAAAAATTATGTATTACAAAGATCATGCTAATGATCTTTAACTCATATGTATTCTCTTTTTTTGAGTATCATATGTATTTGCTTTGTTTCTTGTAATTATGTAGTTTCTTTAGCTTAACATCATGCTAATGATCATGATATTGTACTATCGCCTTGTCAATGTTAATTAATATACTAAATCACAATATGGGATATGCAGCCACAACTTTGACAAGCTGGCATCTTCTAGTCACATTTTGTTCGCTTCACGTAGCGTTATGGATGAAATTTTTTGAACACAAGCCTTTTGATGCTAGTTCTGTAATGGGATTTGGAATTCTTAATGGAATCTCTATTGGCCTTCTGAATCTTAGCTTGGGTTTCAATTCCGTTGGTTTTTACCAGGTAAAGTTCTTGTTAGTTTTGGCTGCCTTCATCAACTTGAGACATGCATTTTTAATGTTGTACTGTATGTGATCCTGTTCGTGCTATGATTATTTACTTCTTTGCCAAACGATATTACATTTTCATTTTAAAATCTGTTACTGTTTCAGCAGTTTTAATGTAAATTATCAATTTCTGAAGAAATTTTCTTTATCAGATGACAAAACTGGCAATCATCCCTTGTACTGTTCTTCTGGAGACCCTTTTCTTTAAGAAGAAATTCAGGTCAGTGTTTATCATAGATCGGTTGTGGGATGAATTTGTTTGTAGTTCAATCTAGTTTGAATTAAACCCGGAAATTTTGTATATAGGATGTTATATTTGCTTTCACTATTTACCTGAGTCATTATATTAAGTTTCGATGCACGATTTCGTTGAATTTTCAACTGATACAACTGCATACTTGTTCTGACACTCTTTACCTTATGACAGTCGAAGTGTCCAGTTTTCACTCTCCATCCTTCTTTTGGGAGTTGGGGTTGCAACAGTGACGGATCTTCAACTCAATGCTCTGGGTTCTTTTTTGTCCCTGCTGGCAGTTTTAACAACCTGTGTTGCTCAGATTGTATCCTAAATTGAACTGAGCTTTTCTATTTCATTAGATGCATTGTACACGTTTAATGTTTAAGCAAACCGCTTTTGATAAAAAAAAAAGAAATCATATCAATAAGATCTGCATTATTTACTGATTACTGTATGGCATTATCGTAGTGTTTATTGTTTTAGACCTTAACAGCTATTTCAGATGACCAATACCATCCAGAAGAAGTTCAAAGTTTCATCAACCCAACTTCTGTACCAATCTTGCCCCTATCAGGCAATAACGTTGTTTGTCATTGGTCCATTTCTAGATGGACTTTTGACTAATCAAAATGTTTTCTCATTTGCATATACCCCTCAAGTGCTGGTGAGTATTCAATATTTCCCCAGTGCTGCCTCCCCAGACCCCTTTCCAACATTTCTATATCCTTCATTTACCGTGATATTGTCTATGTTGCAGTTCTTCATTGTTCTGTCCTGCCTGATATCTGTCTCCGTAAACTTCAGTACATTTTTGGTTATTGGAAAGACGTCTGCAGTAACCTATCAGGTCCTTGGACATCTGAAAACATGCCTTGTTTTGGCATTTGGCTACATTCTACTTCGTGACCCATTTAGCTGGCGCAACATTTTGGGGATATTGATTGCTATAGTCGGGATGGTGCTCTATTCTTATTATTGCACTCTCGAGAGCCAGCGGAAGGCTAATGAAGTATCCCAACAGTTACCCCTGGTGCGTCCCAATTTTTCATATCTCATTCACACGTTCTCTATATAATTCCCATATCCTTTATCTGAAATATTAACTTGGCCCAAATTTGTGCCGATTCATTGGCTAATACTACCTATCCTCCCCATGGTTGCAGACGAGAGAAAGTGAAGGTGCTCAGTTATTAGGTGTGGAAAATGGAAATGGGAACGATCCTAAAATTCCTGTATGGAAGAACAAGGACCTACAAGCTTAAACGCCTGTGTGATCCCTGAGTTCATTTGCAGTAGATCAAATTTAGTGGCGGAAAAACTGTTCCGGCGATGAAGATGTTGCTGGAGAGGGGTTTCTATCTGTGGCATTGTGGGTTTATAATTTCCGTTGTAGAAGGAAGCTTCAGGTCAAAGAAATGTCTTATTTTTCTTACTTTATATAGCAGTTTTGGTTATTAACTTTGTCTGAAACGGGTTTGGCAAATCGGATTTATACCGAAAATTTTGTGTTGTAACCCAAATTTTAGTTGTATTAGTGAAAATTGCTGAACCACAGTATTTGGTCTGCAGATTTCATGAGGTTAGCCCTCTAAATGTAGTTGAGAAAACAAAAACATAATCGCACTTGTACCAGTATGAGAAAACAAAAGCAATTTCCTGGAGCAATGAAGGCATAATTGTGATTAGATGCTTTCTCATGCCATGGTGTCGGGGAATGTACGGTGTTTATGTTGTTTGACTGTAAATTTGATATGTATCATTCTATATCAAATTTGATATGGCTCCAGCACATGTAGGGCTTGTTTGGGAGTGGTTTTAAGTCAGGAATTGTTTTAAATGACTTAAAACACTTTCAGAGAAAAAGTTTTTTGGATTCTAAAAGTACTTACGGTAGTAGCAAAATGTTTTTGAGTTTTAAAAGCATTTAAGTGATTTTTCAAGACTCGGTTGTATTTTTATCAAGAATTAGTTTTAAAAACATTTTACAATCATTTTAAAAGCATTAGCAAACGAGCTAGTATGTCAATACAAAATGTAATCACCATGGTACAAAAAGATAGCTGTCATTCCATATTTTAGGAGAGATTTTTCAGTGTGACCGGTACATAGAGTGGTACACCACATGTCATTATACAAATGGTGGGATATATGTGTTAAAAAGTTAATAACTTAAAAAGTAAAAATTTTCACTACTTATATAAAAACACGTGTTCCGATCACAATGAAACATTTCTCATATTTTAGGAGTGTTGGGGAAAAAAAATGAAAACAACAAGGAAGCAATAATTTATTTTTAGTTTTGAAACAAATAAAAAGAGAGAAAATGAATTAACGGGCCCGGCCCGAATGGATCATAAGCCCGCAAAACCCTAGTAAAAGAAAGCGGACACAAATATATACCCTCCTACCTTAAGAGGCCGCCGAAGCATTTGGCAGCAGAAGGAGAAGAAGCTCAGATCGAGAGGGCGGCTTAGGGTTTCACTTCCCTGAAGGCAAAACAGCAACCATGGTAAATCTTCTCTCCCCCATATCTCCATCCCCAAATTACACGATTAACGAGTAATATTTTACTTACCATTCAAATTAGAATTCTTAGTCTCTCTCTGTTTGCAGACTTTCAAGAGAAGAAATGGCGGCCGGAACAAGCACGGCCGCGGCCACGTGAAGTTCATCCGCTGCTCCAACTGCGGGAAATGCTGCCCCAAGGTGTGCTTTTACCTCATTATCCCTTTTTGTATTTTTATTAAAGTTTAAATCTTTGGAGGTGAAAGATTTGAAATTCGAAGTGGGTTCTGAGTTTCTAATTAGTTTTTGGATTATTTTTAAGTGGGTTCTGGTTTTGAATTAGTTTTATGATTAATTTATTGGGTTTGTGTTAAAAAGGACAAAGCTATCAAGAGGTTTCTGGTGAGGAACATTGTTGAGCAGGCTGCAGTTAGGGATGTTCAGGAGGCTTGTGTTTACGATGGTAATAATCCTTTCCCTTTCTGTTTAATTCCGTAAATGTTTCTTCGTTTTGTTTTCGGTGTTATTTTAGTATTTGATTTCTGATGACTGCTGATAATGTTTTACTGGGAATGCTGTTTGATTTGAAGGTTACACTCTTCCTAAGCTGTATGCTAAGATGCAATACTGCGTTTCTTGTGCCATCCACTCCCACGTTGTGAGGGTTCGGTCTCGCGAGAACAGGAGGAACCGTGAACCCCCTCAGCGTTACAGGCGCCGGGTATGCTTTAAACTTCATCCCCATATATCTTTATCTTTTATTTTGTTTTAGTGCTTCTATGCAATTTGGCTTATGGTTCAGTGTGCCGTATGCTTTCACGTAAGCTGTATGTTTTGTGTTTGTTCAATACTTATGTTTGTTGGGATTTCGTGTTTGAAATTATTTCATTATACATTCCACCTAAGTTGACGAGGGTCCATCCATACAAACTTAACAAGTTTAAGAGCAAAGGAGCTAATGCCATTTTGAATTTGGTTAAAAGAGGTTCGGATGCACCCAACTGTGAAGACTCTATTTCCTTTGCCTTTAGGACACACATATTTGGTAGCTAAACTTTAGACTTATTATTTGGTTAAATGATCCGTGTACTTCCATTACTAGTGGCATTTAGGAGCTTGAAGACTCATGCTAAACAATTTTTTGTTTAACTTCAAAATTGTATGTAGTATCGTAGTAATATCTCAATAACATTTACTGGCTAGGAGTTTCCCCTGCTAAAGTTTTTATACCTCCGTCTGATTTTCGAATCCAGCTGTTGCTTTCATTCTTTAATTAAAGGTTTTTATTTGCCGATATTAGGATTGAAGTGTGGTACTTATAAAAGCACCCTATCTGTCTAGTTCAGCTGCATCCCCTCTCCCCAATGTTAGCATTTCACCTTTTTGGCTAGATAGTTGCTACCCGGAAGCAACATTTGATATATTTGGTTCACATTTTGCCGTAATTTTTTAGTTTGTACATTTGCTTTCATCATTCACTGTCTTTTAATAAACCTTTCAATTTCGATTTATGCATTTCAGGAGGATACACCTAGGCCTGGTGCACCTGGTGCTCCTGGTCAGGGTCCACGCCCTGTTGGTGCTGGAGCGCCAGCTGCTCGTCCATGAAAAGGCATCACATATGTTGCTCAATTGCTTTGAGGATGTGCATTGAGACTTTTAATTTGGCTGCTACCTCGCTTTATTTCCATTTTATCTTTGAATGCGTCTTTGACTCCGTTGTGACTTATGTGTAATATCATATAGTGCTTCAGTCTTATATGTCGTACTTATCATGTTGCGGGAAGGTATTTACAAAGGGCAGCCGGAGATTCAAAACCAGAGTCTTTACACTTTCATATTCGTATTAACTTTCATCAACTTTTGTTGGTTTTCACTTAGAATTTTATCTCTGAAGATTTTGTTACGCTAGTTTTTATATCTCTGGGTATCTCTGAAGATCAGCCCTCGTTGGCTCCGAATGGTAATGGTCCTATTTCCTAATCGTTTTTACAGCTCCGAATGGTAATGGTCCTGTATCTCCATCGGCACCCGGATGCAGTGTTAAATGAGCAAGGGGGCCATAGAAACTTCTTTTCGAACGACTCCACTCAAAGTTGTTTGGGAGCATATGCTCCTATCAACTTTACCCGGGACACACAAAAGAAGTACTTTGATCCTATTAGACGGGGGAGGGTGAAGAAGCTAGGACAGAAGGGTAGAGTTCAAGAGAGCAAAATGCGTTTAGGAACGTGGAATATAGGAACCTTAACGGGAAAATCTATGGAAGTAGTGGAAGTTATGGTGAGGAGAAGGATAAATATTATGTGCCTACAAGAAACTAAGTGGGTTGGTAGTAAGGCAAAGGATCTAGAAAACTCAGGGTTTAAAACTTTGGTATTCGGGCACAAATAGAACGAGAAACGGTGTTGGCATCATCGTGGACAAGACCTTGGTACAAGATGTTGTAGATGTCAAGAGGGTAGGAGATAGAATCATGGCAATCAAGATTGTAATAGGACAAGAACTTATCAATGTGATTAGTGCGTACGCACCTCAAGTAGGGTTGGATACGAGTTCGAAGGAGAAATTTTGGGAAGATCTTGGAGACTTGGTGCAAGGAATTGCTCAGACGGAGAAGTTATTTATAGGAGGAGATTTAAATGGACACGTGGGCAGGGAGACAGGCAACTATGGAGGTTTTCATGGTGGCCATGGTTTTGGGGAGAGAAACGACGGATGGGGAAGCTATCTTGGATTTTGCAATGGCATATGATCTCTTCTTAGCCAACACCTTCTTTAAGAAGAGAGAAGAACATGTGATCACCTACAAGAGTGGGTCGTCAAAAACACAAATAGATTTTCTTCTAATGAGGAAAGGGGATCGTATAACTTGTAAGGATTGCAAAGTTATACCAGGAGAGAGCGTGGCTAATCAACATCGCTTGTTGGTGATGGATGTACATATCAAAAGAGTAAAGACAAAAGAACAAGACTTGGAAGTGCCCAAGGACTAGATGGTGGAATCTAAAAGAAGAAAAAACAAGTCCATTTTCAAAGAGAAGGTAATCACCCAATGTGTGTGGGATAGAGAGGGGGAAGCTAGCCAAATGTGGGATTCCATGGCTAGTTGTATCCGAAAAGTAGCAAAAGAGGTATTAGGAGAGTCCAAGGGCTTTGCCCCACACACCAAAAGGAATCTTGGTGGTGGAATGAGGAGGTACAAACAAAGGTGAAGGCTAAGAAGGAATGTTGTAAAGCCTTATACAAGGAGAGGACCGATGAAAATGGTGAAAGGTATAGAAAAGCGAAGCAAGAGGCGAAGAAAGCTGTCAGAGAAGCTAAGTTAGCGGCTTACGACGATATGTATAAACGACTAGATACCAAAGAAGGAGAGTTGGATATCTATAAAACTAGCTAGAGCAAGGGAAAAGAAGACAAGGGACCTAAACCAAGTGAGGTGCATCAAGGATGAGGATGGAAAGGTTCTTGCTACAGAGAACGCGGTTAAAGACAGATGGAGAGGTTATTTTCATAATCTTTTCAATGAAGGACATGAAATGAGTGCTTCTTTAGGGGAGTTGAGTAACTCAGAAGAGTGTAGAAACTACTCTTTTTATCGTCGAATCCGGAAGGAAGAAGTGGTTGTAGCTTTGAAGAAGAAGATGAAGCATAGAAAAGCAATAGGCCCAGACGATATACCAATCGAAGTGTGGAAAGTTTTGGGAGAGACAGGTATAACATGGCTCACTGACCTTTTCAATAGGATTTTTGAAAACGAAGAAGATGCCAAATGAGTGGCGAACGAGCACTTTGGTGCCTATCTACAAGAATAAGGGCGACGTACAAAATTGCATGAACTATAGGGGTATTAAGCTAATGAGTCATACAATGAAGCTCTGGGAGAGAGTCATTGAGCATAGATTGAGGCAAGAGACACGGGTTTCGGACAACCAATTCGGGTTCATGCCAGGGCGCTCAACCATGGAGGCAATCTATCTCTTACGAAGATTGATGGAAAGATATAGAGATGGGAAAAAGGATTTACACATGGTCTTTATAGATTTGGAAAAAGCGTATGATAGGGTCCCAAGAGACATTCTTTGGAGGATTTTAGAGAAGAAAGGAGTACGAGTAGCATATATCCAAGCTATAAAAGGATATGTATGAAGGAGCAAAGACTGCCGTAAGAACTCATGAA